ATGGATGGATGGATGGATGGATGGATGGATGGATGGATGGGAACTTGTAGCCCTACTATTCTGCTTGGGTGGTTCCACTTCACTTCAAACTTGTGTCCTCTAGCAGAGCGCTGGGAGTTTCAGGGTTCTGTTCAGCATCTTAGCTGTTAGCAGCTAGGACTGAACTCTTCTGGACAGAGATCTATGAGGTTGTTCATGTGATCTGTTGGAGCCACTCTTCCAGTTTGGGGGTCACAGCACCGAGTGCTCCAGTGACCACTGGGACTACTGACTCTGACTCTCCACATCTTCTGTATTTCCTCTTTCTGCCCTTGGAAATTCTTCAGCTTCTCGTGGTCCTTCTTCCTGATGTAACAGTCACTTGACATACATCTATCACCACTGCCTTCTTCTCTTGCTTGTTGACTGCCACAATGTTCAGTTCGTTAGCCATCATCTGTTTTTTGGGCTGGATCTGGAAGTCCCGTAGTATCTTAGACCTTCCATTCTCACCATCCTTGGTGGCGTTTCATACTTTGACTGTAGGTTCTCCAGTCCATACTCAGCAGAGATGTTCCTATATGTCATTCCAGACACTTGATTATGGCATTCCATGTATGCTTTTATCTGCCTGAATCTTACACCCTGCCATTATGTGTTGGACTGTCTCAGGGACACAGTCTGCAACTTTTCTGGTATGGTAGACCTCAGCCTCTATTGTTCTTCTGCTGCCTCTGTACTGTCCTGCAGTTCAGCCATCTCCAGCTACTGGCAATATTTGTTGATATTAGCCACTTCCTCAATCTGTTGGTGGTAAATGTCATGCAGGGGCTTATCTTTTCATGATGGCTGCTCTTGCTCCACCTCTTCCACCGTGGATTTCTGCTGCTGCTGCCTGAGACATTCACAACAGATCAACATCTGGAGCATTCCTCCTGATGTACTCCAGGATCTCAGTTGTTTCACCAGTGGCTTAGTTGTTCACTAGCCCTCTGCCTCAGTCCTTTCTGTTAGTGTATAGTCTCAGTGTGCTGGACTTGGGGTGAAATCTTCACGGCATGGAAAACCAACATGGTCATCATTAAAATGGATTTCAAATGAATGCATGGACCTTTCATAAAGAAAAAAAATGAGCGGAAATTGGGGGGTTTTATTTGGTATGGTATGGCATGGTATGGTATAAAGTTTATTCATTTTAAAACAGTACAAAACAATTCCATAACAATATAAAAAAGATACAAACGATTTAAAATGAAAGGCAGCAGAAAGAAGAAAAAATCTTATATCTGCCCCTTTTTTTCAAACAATTATTATTATTATTGATTATTATTATTTGAACACTGCTGTAAAAATAAATACAGAAAACAATACCTCAGTTATACATATAGTCATCTATCTGTTGGATGGATTTTATTTTTAATTATTCTATTGTTGCAGTTTGTCTGATATGTTTTTTTGATACATCCATGCATGCCAGATGTTGAAGAGAATGGATCTTCAACATACAGGATTGTAGGAAACGTGAACATGTGGATAATTAGCAAACCCAGAAAGGCCCAGTGTAATTTAATTTTCTTACTTGCCTTGATAGAGCTTAAACAGCAACACAACAAGATTTATATTTTAGTTTCAGCCACAAACCTGAAGCATATTGTTTGCCTCTCTCTGGATGTGGACAGCTGGTTAAAGCCTGCCAGTTGGCTGCTCACTGCACACAGGATCCTTCTGCTTGCTGAGCATCAGGGTGTTCAAAATCCCCTTCATTATGACAAACGTGCTGCAACTTGAAACACTGAAAACGGCACGTTTTGATGCAGATTTGTCTTGTGTTGTAAGACAATACTGCCTGTCTTTTTCACTGAATAAAAACTGCAGATCATGCAGAAATATTGTCATTTTGTTTATCATATTCAGTAAAACAAGCTTGATATAAACTTTCACTAAGACAGAGCGACTGCAACCTGAACTTAAATAAAAACAAAATGACCAAAGTCTGGGTTTTTTTTCTTTATAATGCATAACGAAACACAAGCTGATCATTCTTTAGTGACAAAAATAATTTGGGATTCTGTAATTTTGCTTATGCAAAAAAAAATATATATATATATATATATATCTTGTCAACCTCAAAACTGTTCCTGCTAAAAATAATAATAATAATATAATACAACTCCATAAACTAATATGATCAATTAGAGCCAGTA